AATGCTGATTGCTCAAAGTTTGCTCAGATACTAGTCTTTGGGCTTATTCGTGTACATTTACATTCCTGGGCATTGTTGATTGTTAAATGTTGAAGTCTGAGAGCTTCAGGCAGGTGAAGATGTTGAACCAATGTGAACATGTAACTGGCCTGCAGCCCTCATGAATCAATGAATGTATACGAGGGAGTGACTGGAGCGATGTGAGGAAACACACACAGTGACTGTATCTGATGGACACACACACTGACCCTCACCCTCAGGACAGCGCTCTCAGGCTTTCTTGCCGGAGTGGGACGGGGGGCGGCGGACGACGTACGAGAGGGGAGGCACCCTGATGGAGCATGAGGGGGAGAAGTGAAGCGAGAGGTGAGGTGCGTGAGGAGGGCTGCACAATATACCGCAAAATTACCCTTCTCTCGATTATAGTATCTGCAATATACAGTTGAAGTCAGGATTATTAGCCCTCCTTTAGATTTTTTTTCCCCAATTTCTGTGTAACGGAGAGCAGATTTTTTCAGCACATTTCTAAACATGATAGTTTTAATAACTCATTTCTAATCACTGATTTATTTTATCTTTGCCATGATGACAGTAAATAATATTTAACTAAATGATTTTCAAGACACTTCTATACAGCTTAAAGTGACATTTGAAGGCTTAACTTGGTTAATTAGGTTAACTAGGCCGGTAAGGGTAATTATCGAAATTATTAACGATCGTTTGTTCTTTAGACTATCGGAAAAATAATATAGCTTAAAGGGGCTAATAATTTTGACCTTAAAATGGTGTTTAGAAAATTAAAAACTGCTTTTACTCTAGCTGAAATAAATCAAATAAGACTTTCTCCAGAAGAAAAAATATTATCAGACATACTGCGAAAATTTCCTCGCTCTGTTAAACATCATTTGGGAAATATTTAGGGGCCTTAATAGTTCTTATTGCTACTGTATATACCATTAAATAAATGAAAGCTATAAAAACATAGCTAATAGCAATGGCAGTTTCTACAAAAATGTTATATACTCAGAAATATTGTTATCGCAATGATCAAAAACAATAACGCACATCACATTTTATGTGTTTCAGAATTGTGCAGCCCTTTCTGTGTGATCATGATTGGACAAGGAGAACCACTGTGTTTGCGTGAGTGAACACTTCGAACAACACACTGACTGAAAACAACAACACTGTACTCTAAAGACAACACACTACACTACGGCTCAACAATCTGAAAGAATCAATATTTCTGATGTTTAAAGTTTCATATTTTTGTGATCAAAGCTTTCATCATAATTAACCCAGTTTCACATGATCCCTCAGAAATCATTCTAATATGCTGTCTTTAAGGCACAATATATATGATTTTTTTATTAAAATATATAAAAACACTAGACTTGTGTTATATATTTAACAGTCTTATGTACTTATATTATCCCAAATGTTCTGAAAAATGTTCAAATCCTAAAAAATAAGCCATTTTATCTAGTAGAGATCATGCTAATGTCGTCACACACCCTCGATTTCCAGGTTTGGTTGTATAGAAAACAGCAAAACACTAAAGAGGCGTTAATATGTTGTAGTTATTAGCCTACATAGAGCAGCATTATAACTGAAGTCTGAAATGTATTTAGTCTGATAAAAACAGCACTGCTTTTTTTCTTCACATGATCACCAGAGAAAAAAGAAGCGTATAATAAGGCATAATAAAAGATCTGCTGTATTTGTGTCAAGTCACGTTCGTCTCTTCAATGTTTCTTTTGGTTCACTTCTTTCAATCTACTCTGCTTTATATATATACATGATAGTAAGTGTTGAATACTTCAGCTCATGAAACATGTGCCTTTGTTTGTAGTGAATACAGGTCCTCTAGTGGTGAAAATGGCATACTGTGCCTTTAAATGCTCAAGACCAGGATTTGTAGTTATGTATTTGACTACAGTTTAATTTATTTTGGTTTATTCTGTGAACTAGTAACGACATTTCTTAAATGTTGTCATTTAAGATTTATTTAAATCTTAAAGATTTAAAGATTTATAAATTAACAATAAATTGCAGACGTGTTTATATTCATTATTTGACAACACAATACCAACAGTTTAACTTCTGAAGAGTTAAGAAATTAATAGATTTCCAATCACAACAAATGAAAACATCTGTACAAATATGAAATGGCAGAATGCTAAATATTAAATACAGAAAGAAAGAAAATGTGAACTTTTATTAATTAGAAAAATAATAATAATGATAATAATAATAAATAATAATAATACAAACAATAATAATAACTAATAACAATAAAAATCAATAAATAATATTAATATTAATAATAATTAATATTAATAATGATAATAATAATAATAGTAATAATAAATACTGATGCTTAATAATAATAACAATTATTATTATTATTATTAATAAAAATAATAAGAATACAAATTAATAAAAATAATCATTAGTAACAGTAATCAATGTTAGTAATGATAATAATAATTAATAATGATAATAATAATATTAAAAATAACCATTAATAATAATAATAACGGTAATAATTAGTAATAATAATAATAAAAGTAGCAATTTATAATAATAATAATTAATAAAAATATTATTAATAATACTTATAATAATAATAATAATTATTATTAATAAAATAATTAATATTAAAAACAACCATACATAATAATAATAATAATTATAATTAATAATGATAATAATCAATAATAATAATTATAATCATTCACAATATTAATATTAATTCATTAATAATAATAATAATAATAAATAATAGTAATTAATACTACTACTAATAAATAATAATAATAATTAATAATGATAATCAACAAAATATTAATAATAATAATCATTAATAATAATAAAAATAATAATAATTAATAATAATAATAAGCACTTTTAATAAATAAATTATCGTGCATTAAACTTGCAACTGCTAAATAAATTAATGCAAATATGAAGGTAATTTAATACCAATAATAATTAAACGGCATATTAGAATAATTTCAAAACAATGGACATTAAAAACTGGAGTAATGATGCCGATAATTCAGCTTAATTCATTGGAAGAATAAATGAACTCAAATAAAGTAGTAGTTACTTCAAATCAGGGGCATCCAAACTCGGTCCTGGAGGGCCAGAGTTTGCAAATGCCTGCTTTAAATTAACATAAATCTAAAACTGAAATAATGATTCACAATATGATTTTTTTTTTGCTGTATTTTCACTAAAAATGCAGCTCTAAAAATAAAAAGTATTCCACACTTTTTGCCAGCTTTGTTAATGATTATTATAGTTCTTAAAATGAAATGTTATAAAAGTATTTTTTATTTAAACATTTACAAGTGAAGGTGAAAGTTGAGCAAGCATATTCATTTGGTTTTGTCCACAAGATGGCGCTTCTTGAAGTAAAATCTAAAACTAGGGCTGTTTGTGTTTTTCTTTTTTTTTTTTTTTTTTTTTTTTAAGCTGTGGGAAGACTCCAGAAGCACACAGTCATTAACAGCATTAAAGCAGCCAGTCATTATGAATAAGCTCTGGGGTGAAAGAGAAAGCAGCGTGCTGTGACAGAATGCAAAAGTAGAGCAGAACCAAAGAGTTTGCATGCGTTTGCTCTTACCAGCTGGCTCTCACGGCCTCAATATCACTAACTAAATTCTGTGCAAGGCATATTCCAAAGATCTGTGGAGAAAAAACAGAGCAAAACGTGAAGTATAAACACAGCAGATACAGTCAATAAAGGCCCGTCCACACCATGAAGAATAATAATAGCCAGTGATGGAGTTTGTTTTAAAAAGTGATGCATTGATTTTGTTTCCCTGCATCGTTATCATTGTAGCTTTAGTTTTAGTGCTGCTGTTGTTTTACATTCATCATGCTCTCTTTATTGCTGTCTTTATAGTGACTGTCCATGATGTGAAGAGCCTTTAAAGACTGGATGAAGCTGATCTTCTGACCTGCAGCAGAGCGATTCCTATGAAGATCCCGGCCACCACCGTCAGGTTGTCCTGCAGCCACTTCTCAAACTGCGGCACACAACCTTTCACATGGATGTAAGTCTTCTGTTCTGCATCCTAGTGATGAATAAATGATGTGAGCGTTTATAAACGCACAGTGCTATGGGAGGCCGTTGGGGCCAAAGTGTATGGAAACTGACCGGTTTTGCGCGCACATCATATCCACACTGTGTGTTGATGACATCCTCCTGCAAAACAACACATTAATACATTAATATTAACAACAGTATAGCATGTCAACAGTGCCCTACAATAGTCCAGTGTGTTGAAGTGACCAGATAAGGACTGAAAATAGCAAACCCTGATGGAGTCACTTCTTCATTTTGTAATCCTTCTTCCAAACAGACAAGCAGTCTGAGAAGGGTGCGCGACGTAGCCTATTTGAGGACCGGAAGGGAGACGCGAGATTACCGGGAGATTATCATTTATTTGCAGGCATCCGGAGACTCGACTTCCCACCCATCTCATAATTCTCTCTTCATATAGCCGTATGCCTATTACATATCCATAAAACACTGTGATATAACCGGGCTCGGATCGGATCGCTTTCTCACTGCAATCGATCCGATCCAGAGTTCGTTTCAAACGAGCTGAGACCACCTCATCCAAGCGATCTCGGAGCGATTGATTTGGCGCGGATCCGAGATCGATTGGTGGTTTCACATATGCTAAACGAACCGTGCTAACTGGGCAAACGAGACAGGTTCCCAAACAAAAGTGTAGGTGTGAAAGCACCCTTAGTTTCATCCTGAATATCGGTTCCTCTTTCAAATCAATTCTGAAAATCTTGATGCAGCGTTTTTTTTGTTTGCCCAATATTTATTTATTTATTTATTTATCTTTTTATTGATATACAGTATTTAGAGGGAGGGGAGATGTTATTTATTTATGTGAATTGGGAAAGCCAAAAATTATATTATACCACACTAATATGGAGACCAAAATCACATTAGACAATTCTTTAATAAACATCTACAAAATGTAACACTAAAGAAATTAGTTCCTGTAGATATTCCAAGATATTGTACTATATCAGTTTTTTCGAAAATCATTTATCATATATATTAAAGCCTATATATTTATCAATATTCCCCCTTTCTCCTTTAAAATAATTAATTTACTTTTTTTAATGACATACATTTACAATGCAGCATATTTTACCATGTTTTTAACATCATGTACATGAGAGAAAAAAAAGAGTCTATTGTCATTTTTAAAGGGCTAATTCTCCAAAAAATGAAAATTTAATCCTCATTCACTCAACCCAAAAATCTTTAAAAGTGCCTTTAATGTTATACACACACACACACACACACAAAAATATTATTTGGAAGTATATTAGAAACTGTATATTGGAAACCGTATATTGGAAACCGGTAGCCGTTGACATCCGTTAAAATGAAAAAATAAAAACATAAATAAAAAATAGAAGTCAATGACTAAAAGTTTCCAACATTCTTCAAAATATCTTCTTTTGTGTTCAAAAGAAACCCATAATAGTTTTAAAACTATTTGAGAGTGAGTAAAAGATTACAAAACTTGTATTTTTGGGTGAACTATACAACAACTTAGTTTTACCTTTGAATAAAAGTCCAAAATAAAAGTTAAAAATTCTTGCAATAAAATTAATATCAAATGTAACAAAACAAAAAAAAAACATAATGTACTTAACTTAAAGATAACAACTTAAAGATCAAATGACTTTTTACAGTGTAAATAAATTTAAACAGTGTATATATATATATATATATCGAGACCAGTTCTGTCTGGTTCTTGAATCTGATTGGCTAATAGCTGTGCAATATTCTGGCAGAAACAGCACTCGTACCACCCTTTTCACTGTCTGGTTCTTGAATCTGATTGGCTGATAGCCTTGCAATATTCTGCCAGTAATAGCACTTAACCCACCCTTCACCCTTCACCTTTGAGTATTACTCCACCCACATACAGCAACAAGTAGAGGACACTCTACACTTTACAAATATTGCTGCTGTTGGACAACATAATGTACTTTTGAGGCTTTTTTTAGTCAAGAATGTAGTCGTTTAGATTGCAACTATGCAGTTTATTTATAAGGATAGTGCCTATTTTAACAAATGTATCATTTCTGAGAGACAGCGGGCGGCAGCCATTAGCCGATCATTGAGCAAAGACGGTTGCAGATGTTCATCCCTATAAGAAAACCAGCATAATTCCAAACTACTCTAGTAGTGCTGTATTTATACCATAGTAGTATTGTGATCTCCCGATTGCAACAGAGAAATATTGGGAAATCTCTGTAGACTGATGGCATTTCATGCCGTTCAGCCTTATAATCCTAAAGTGTGAGCAAATTCACCTGTTTTGTGATCACTTTAGACATTACGCTATAGAAGCATTCAAACACTAGCTCTAAATTGACGCTGGTGAATTAGCAACGGTTTTTGCTGTTCTGACGTCAGATGCAGATGCGAAGGAATGGCGGAAGAAAGTAGTTCCTCATTCAAAAGGGTTTTGAGACTCTCCGTGTTTGATTTTCTTTTTTATACACACGATTATGCCGTCGAACTGTTGTATAACTGCAATATCACACTCGTAGTCAGTTTTTTCTTTTCTTTTTTTTTTTTAAAGAAAATTATACTGTTCATCAAGGCAGGATTTAGCAATTGTTAAACTGTAAAATATTAATTTTAATTTTATACTAATATATTATTTCTTTAGTTATATTCTCACTATAAATGCTTTTCCCTTATCTTTTCTTCCTGTAGCTTACAGTGAATTTATCACCGGCAGTTTCCTTTATAATGAACTGAATGTATGACTGCAATCACAGAAGGGCTCAAAACCGAATTAATGTAGACGACATTTATCTGCAATGAGTTAAGAGCTCATAACTGGCCATAATTCCTCCTGTTTGTCGTTTAGTGTGCTCCCAGTGCTTGTTTATTGTCAGTGAAATGTTATTTTTACTCTATTCACGTAGTCCAAATCCTGTTTTATAGTGCTCTTTTGTTTGGCTCTGTCACCTATTGTTCAGACTTTCCTCTCCAGCTTTCAGCGTCTCTTAATCAGGAAAACACTGGCATACGAATTAAGCTCAGAAAATAACTGCGCTTCATTTTTCAAGAGCAAGACGACAGGGGTTATCTGACTATGACGAAGATACTTTTGCAACTCATTTAAATTGGTTTTATTATTGGCACTTTTTTTACATTTTAACTACTGGGGTTTAGAAATGTTTAGTTAAAGTGTTACAAAGCATTCGTTAAATTACTAAAGATGAAGATTTATTCTATATATCAGGGGTCAACTCTGATAAAAAAACTATTTTTTCACATTGCCATTATGGGGGATTGTGTGTAGAATGTTGAGGAAATAAATTAATTTAATCCATTTTGGAATAAGGCTGTAACATAAAAAACTGTGGAAGCGCTATGAATACTTTCGGATGCACTGTATATGACTATAAAAATGTTAGAGATGTTAGACTGTTTTTTGTGTTGCAAGTATGCTCGTGTTTATATAGGTCTATTGTTGTGTGTGCAACGTTTGTATATTTATAACCATCTCCAAGAAATGTGGGCGTTGAGAGTCACTGGCATTGTTATTTCTGTGCTGAATGATTAAATGTAAATGGAAACTGACATTTGCAGCGATTTTTTTTTAAAGTATTGACTAGGGATGTAACGGTATCAGAATTTCACTGTACGGTAATACCTCGGTATGAATGTCACGGTACGGTATTTATTGAATCATTTACAGGAAAAACAAAACTTTTGAAAATACTCCAAAAAAGTGCCAAAAGTGTCAATGACATACAAATTAGCCATCTATCTGTAAGCTTTGAAACAGGAACTTCAATTTTAATAACAAAAAAATATTAAACCATGTAAAAAAAATAAAGTTTCAATTTAGTATTGTTGAAAACTCATCACATTCAACATTTAATCACTCACTCACTTAGATAGAGATGGGTTTAAAGGAAAATTATCATATAACAATAATCTGGTAAAAGCTGGTATCTCTGGGTATTTACAATGTCCCCTGCAACAGAAAAAAACCCTCTCATTTGGGACTGAGGATTCTGGGACAGAGATATGACTTGGCCCAGGTTGACAGCAGTGGGTAACGTTGTGCATTGTCTTTCCCCCACTTGAGAAGACAAACCATGAGTGAGATAGAGATCTCTTTGCGGTACAAGTCAATGTCTGCATCAATCTGAACAGTGTGCTGTGTTTCTGCAGTCCCCATGACTGCTATTAGTCGTATTCCCCAACTTGCAGGCACGTGCACACATAGGGCTCAACCTGTGCAGTGCACATGCCCTTTTTAGTCTTGGATAGAAAATGCCCTTCCAAATCGATCAAAAGTGCCCCCGCGACGCGACACAACCTCCGTCCAGCCCTTCAGTAGACAACACCGCTCTTGAGTATGCGCGCTCAACCCCCCCTCGGCGCTTTACAATACGCGCGAGACAACACAGCTGATCAGAACGTGCGCGACAACACTGCTATTCAGTACGCGCGCGGCGACAACACCCGCTTTAGGTTCGATCATTTCCATCTTTTTTTCATCTCCGCTACTAGCAGCACACTCCATTTCCGCATTACTGGATCTGTAGCGACAGCAGACCGCAAAGGATTATGGCCACGCCTGGGCTGATAGGAAATGTAGTTTAAGCTACCTCCCGTTCGCTTCATTCGCCTGAGCAAATTTTCTCAGAAGACCTATAGTTTTACCGAGTCATGCGACTTCGGTAATATCGAAAAAAATTAATATTGCGGTATGACGGTATTTACAATACCGTTACATCCCTAGTATTGACATAAAAACAAATTTAAAAATGCAAAACTAAAATGTGTGATGGTCATATAGACTTACCGCGGGGTCTTTGGTGCAGCAGGAGAAGGGGACGCCACATTTTTCTCTGCTAGGGTTGCTGTCAGTGCAGTTGAAGTAGATGTTGAGGTTCCAGTCGTCTGCTCCAAACGCCCCACAACATTCCCACTGAACAAACCACACAATTGGGCATGCAATTACGATGCATCATAAAATCAAAGCAAAATTGCAATAATTGGGAATATTGGCACAATGTAAGCACTGATGCATTGGATAGTATTCTCTATTTAATACACATCAATGTCACAGATGTGGCATTAGAGAGCGACTGTACGAAAGAAAAGCCAAAATCCCCCGTGTTTCCCATTACAGCTGTATTGGATGCTGATGTACAGAGCTTTACTGCTTCTGTCGTCTTTATCATGCACCGTCAGCAAGGAAATAACATGACAGCGTCTGCCTGACTCTGATATCTAATTAAATCTGTCTCGAGGAAAGTCATCTGCTGGAAACAGATCTGCTGCACAGAGCAAAAAAGCTAGAGAAACGCTGTGTTAGAAGGGTTTTGCTTAGGAAACAGTGTCATTTGTGTGTCTGTTCTTTATTGCAGTCGTTCACGCAAAATTGAAAGCTTTCCACATCATTTACTCACACTCAAGTGGTTCTTTTGTTTTATAAATACAATAGTATATTTATTTAATTATATATTATATATGTTTTTTTTATTTTACATGTTATTTTTTATTTAATTTTATTACATTTTATTTTATTTTTATTACATTTTATTATTTTTTATTTTGATGTATTTTATTATTTTATTTTATTTTAATTTTTTTATTATTTTACTTTATTTTATTTATTCATTTAATTTTAATTAATTTAATTTTTAATAATTTAATTTTTATTTATTTTTTTTATTTAATTTTATTATTTTATTATAATTTTTTTATATATATATATTATCTGATTTAATTTTATTTTCCAAATAACATTGTCCTTAGACACTGGCAACCTAAATCTAACCTAATATTTTCCAAATTTTTTATTTTGATTTATTTATTTATTTTGATTTATTTATTTATTTATTTATTTTTTCATTTTTTAAAATTTTTTATTGTTTTCTATTTTTATTTTATTCATTTATTTATTTATTTATTTATTTATTTATTATTATTATTAATTTTATTATTGTTATTATTATTATTTATTTTATGCAAACACGATTTTCTGAACCATGGAAGTAAATGGCTGTCTTTTCCAACATTCTTCAGAATATCTTTATTTGTGTTCAGAAGAAGAACACAAGAAACAGTAAATGATGACAGAGTTATCCTTTTAACATGAAAAAAATGAATATAACCAGTGATAAGCTTTTTAAGTTTTAAGCTGGAATAGCTGACCATTGCATTTTAATGGTTTCCTTTATATTCAGCTGTTATATGTGTTCTGCATGCCAGGCTAAAATTTGCTGATGCCATCCCAATAAACACGTCCTGTAGTCCAACATTGTTGTTTTAACGGCCAAGAGTTTACGCATGACTTTAAACTGTACAGTTATCAAGAGCTTGCATTATTTATTTACTTAACATTTTCAGGCCTTTTAAACACCAGATGGAAGGCTATGAGGGAGACTAATTAATGACAATTTCATTTGTGGGTAAACTTGCCTTTTAATTACGAGTTAAAATGTCATATATGCTGGCGGCACGGTGGCTCAGTGGTCAGCACTGTCACCTCACAGCAAGAAGGTTGCTGGTTCGAGTCCCGGCTGAGTCAGTTGGCATTTCTGTGTGGAGTTTGCATGTTCTCTCTGTGTTCTCCTGGCTTTCCTTCGGGTGCTCCGGTTTCCCCCACAGTCCAGACACATGCGCTATAGGGGAATTGGATGAACTAAATTGGTAGTGTATGTGTGTGTGTGAATGCGAGAGTTTATGGGTGTTTCCCAGTAATGGGTTGCGGCTGGAAGGGCATCCGCTGCATAAAACATATGCCAGAAAAGTTGGCGGTTCATTCCACTGTGGCAATAAAAAGTAATAAAAAACATCTTCCTGTCCCAAATGGCAGCATTTCCTGAGACTGACCCAGTAACCTTCTAAATGTCAAGCATTTTTTATAACTGGCAGTAAACAAAATCTGGATCTGACAGCTCACCCTTCTAAAACGTGCGCTGAAAGCTCAGTAAAAGCGAGCGGCGAGGGATTTTAGTGAGTGCTGACGGTGGATAAAGAGTCTTGAAGTCACGCTAGCGCTCTGAGATCTGCCTGTTTGCACTTCTGTCAGGACATGTGCTGGATATAAACTTTGGCCTTTTTTAATCCCGTCATTTCTTTCATCTCATTTGCAGCGTTCCCTATTCTCGCTTTCATTGTGTTTGAGGCATGAACACGTGTCTTACATATTCCTGAGTGAAGTCGATGAGGTTCTGCAAATCGATGTCGTCTCTGTAGGCTCGGATGTTGTTGTTGATGAAAAAGTTGAGCTGGTCTTTAATCCAGTCTTTAAAGACGAAGGCCAGGATGCCGGCGGTGAGCTCCAGGAAGAAGATTATCCCCAGAAACACAGAAAACTGGGAGCAAAAAAACAACAAAAAAAAAACAGATCTTTGCATACTGAAGTGCGAAATTTTCATATGCATTTTTTCGTCTGCCACATTCTGTCTTTATATTAATTTATGCACTGTGTTTGTCATGAAGTGATCTGTGCTGGTCAAGTGACGGCATTCTGTATTTTGCCTTTCGCATGTACGGTGGCTCTGAACTGTCAAAACACACATCAAATCGCTTTTTCAGATGCGATAAACTGAAAAATTTGACCCGATTTTGACGGACGAAAGTTTTGCAGGCAGTTTGTTAATACGATCAACAAAATGTTGAGGTCGAATTTATTTTGTAACGTACGAAAATGTCGGATTCAGTGTGCAATAACCTTAACACCACTATGACGTCTATCAGACGTTGAAATTTGGTTGATAATTTTTTGACACACTGAGGAAGGCTTTGTGCCGAAACGTCTGTTTGTCTGTTATCACCCATAAAATGTAAGAAAAAGTACAAATAAAAACAGTACGAAGCAATTGAGTGCGAATCATTACCTTCTGTTGATAATTATTTGGTCATACCTGAGAAATAAATGTCAGTTTTTGACGTCAATATGATGTTGGTTTAAGATGTTGGCTCGACGTTGGATTTTGGTCACTTTTCAACACAACCTAAAATCAACCAAATATCAACGTCTAATGATGTTGTGGCTTGACTATGTGTGGACGTTACCACTATGACCTCTATTAGACATTAGATTTTGGTTGCCTTACTTGGCGAATAAATGTCAGTATTTGACGTCAACATGACGTTGGTTTAAGATGTTGGCTCTACATTGGATTTTGGTCAGTTTCCAACACAACCTAAAATCAACCAAATATCAACGTCATTTACTGTCTATTGGACGTCAAAATAACATTGTCCTTTGACACTGGTGACCTAAATCTAGCCTAATATTAATGTATTATAACGTTGTGTGTCTGCTGGGATAGGTCATAATACCATAATCTTAAAAATATCGTAAACCGTGATGAACACTTCAGCAATTAATCGCAACAAGAAAATGTGATCTTAGAGTGGTTTACAAACCTTAATTCATTCAAATTGAACCATATTGAAATAACATTTGAGAATGATTAAAATATAAAACTCACAATCAGAGATAATTACAATGCTTCCTGACGTTAGATGCATTCAAACCTATTGCAGAGACTTCAAATATCACGTGACCTGCTCTTTCAAAAAAAAAAAATCACTAAATACTACAAATAAGAATCAAAACTTACAAATTTGAGCAGGAAGGTGTTTTCCCTTAAGGCTCCGATACAGCCAGCAAAACCCAGGATGAACATCACCCCTCCAACCACCAAAAACAACCACACTGGGTCAAATCCACCCAGATCCGTGATGGAGGAGATATTAGAGAGAACTCCCTGATAAACACACACACACACACACACACACACACACACACATATTTACAAGTGTGTCATTATGAATGCAGACTTTTCAGAGGTGACAACATAAGCATCACCAATAATCAAATGTATGACAGTATCCGATTGTTAAGTGAAACACACAATATCTCCACATATAATATATCTTTTAAACTATATATATTTTTAATGTTTTCAAACCAGAATTCCCAAAATGAAATTCGAATGTGTAAATAAAAAACACGTACGAATCACAAAATGTGAAACTGCTAATTATTGGCATTTTGTGTGTAAAATCATAAAAATAAATAACTGAAATAACATATATGGAGAGTTATATTATTGCAAAAGCAAGATATTGTATTTTAATTAAATGTAACTTGATGTACTAAAATAAATAATAATAAATAATATGAATGCTATATATACAGTAATATACAATAATAATAATAATTATAATAATAATAAAAGCAATAATAAAGAATATTTCAGTTATTGTCAAAGCAAGTTTTCGTATTTTAATTTAATGTAATTGATGTACTAAAATAAATTTTTATTTATAATTTAATTAATTATTTTTATTATATATTCATAAATAATTTAAATAATATGAATGTATATATAATAATAATATTAATAATAATAAATAATATTTTATTTCAGTTACTGCTAAAGCAAGTTTTCGTATTTTAATTTAATGTAACTTAATGTGCTAAAATAAAACTGTAATAAATAAATTATATAGAGAGAGAACATTAAAAATCTAAATAATATGAATGCTGTATGTAACAATAATAATATTAATAATAATAATAAATAATATTTTAATTCAGTTACTGACAAAGCAAGTTTTCAGATTTTAATTAAATGTAACTTGATGTACTAAAATAAAACTGTAATAAATAAAAAAGTATATACTGGGAACATGAAAAAATCAAAATAATTAGAATGCTTTAATAACACAATATTAACAATAACAATAATAAGAAAAAAAAATTCTAACTCAAGTAAATTTAAAATACATTAAACAAAATTATATA